TTGGGAATTTTGCAAATCATCTTTGCACAGGGTCCTGCATCAGCATGGAGTGACCACAGCAAAAAGAAATAGTGGTGTGGCTTGTTACATGGTATTTCTGACTATCCCTTGGCTCCCATGTAGTGTAAAAGGGATGCAGGTGTTTTCACAGTAGATATACCTCAGCAGACCCCTCATAACAAGAACCTTGGGTAAACTTTTACTGAGTTCTCAAACAAAAAAACCTACTAAAAGTCAAGTAAATAGTCATCACTGCAAAGAATAGTTAAAAATAAAGTTGAAAGTGACTGAAGATACAGCCAATGTTGGAAGAAAATGTTTCTAGAGAGGCAAACAGGCAGAAAGGCCTATAAAGACGGAAAATTGAAGTCAAAAGTTAGCATTGTCAAAAATAAGAGATTCATTTTGGCTAGCTATCACAGTTTTAAAAGATCTCTAAATCCAGGCAATCATACTATAAAATATAGGAACAAGATCAAAGCTTAGTGGCATCAAATCTCCCAGCTTGATTCCTTTTGATCAGACTTGTGATACTAATTTTCCACCTTATCTGGGGGTGAGGGATAATTCATCAGACACTAGAGTAGTCTGGGAAGCCAACTTAGTTTTTATACCAAGTATTTATATTTTCAGAATCTCTCCTTTATGGGAAATACTTAAAGCTTCTGCTTAAAGGATACTCAGGAATTGACCCTCCCAGATTTTAAGAGCCAAAACTCTGGAGGCTTAAACAGGATTATTATTACTTCTTCCAGAGACAGATGAAACTTATCTTGTCATACGACCAGGAAGAGTGGGCTGGAGAGTAAAAGAGCTTTTTTTTTTTAAGCCCTCCATATGTAGGGCTTATTAGCACTTGGTTCTTTCTTGGACAATCCTTCATTAGAAAGATCACTATTTTAAATTTTACATGCTTCTAGCTAGAGAAAGTAAAAATAATATAACAACTTTGGCTCTCTTTGAAAGTAATAACTTGGCACAAAATTTCATTTTAATGCTAACGATGACTTTATATGATGCTGATATTTTAACACTTGCTTTTTAATTTAATTAATAATAATTAAAATATTTTCTTTATTGCTATGTTTTTAATTAAAAACTGTTCTTGAAAAGATTAAACCTAAATAATGGTTTTTAGATAAAAACATAGCAATAAAGATAAATACTTTTAAAGAAGAAAAATCACCTATATGCCTACTAGGGTAACTGTTTTTATTTTTGTATATTTCATTCTGCCTATGTGGCACAACCCTGCAGGCCTGAAAGATACTTTGGAAATCAACTAGTCCAAACTCTTAATTTTCATGCGAGAAAACTAAGATTTTCTCCACAGAGAACGCAACTGCAAGGGGGGAAAATATCACTATTATGTAATATAATATTAACCCTCTTAAAAGCTATCTTTGGAGAATTACAACTGCAAAATCTAGATTACTTAATAAAAACTACCAGAAATCCAGGAATTTCTACAAAACAGATGTGAATTCAAAGTGTCTGGATTTATGGATTTGAAGTCAAAGCTCCCATAATGCTATGCATTGCTACTACTAATGCTGTCTGCAGATTGTTGATCCTGGAATGCACTCTCCTTGATAAAAAGGCAAACTGCAAATGTTAAAAACTGCACTTTTGAGGTTTTCTCTCTCATATAACTCAAAGAACTGAAATAGCAGTGAAAAGGGGGGGGGTGTTCTTTGTTGGGAACATGGACGACTTTCAAAGTAACTGTTAGAATCTGAACTTGCTGTTACTGGGACAAGACCCAAAGTGGGAATAGAATACCTCCAGTTCTGAAACATGTCTGCTACTAATCAGGAATAAAATCTGAAGCAAAACATTTAATTTTTCTAGTTTTCCACATTAGCCTAGCTGATCTCAGAATTTGTTTTGAATTTTAAAATTCTATGACTTTTCCTTCCATGAATGTGAAAGGTATCCTGTATTTCCATCTCTGGGAAAACCTTAAGTGTAAAGACTTGGCTCTATTAACAAGGTCTTAACATGCTCTTGTCCTCTTATGCTTCTTAAGTATGCCCTGGGCAGAAACCTGGCACTTTTTTGGCACCCCCTTCCTTCCCTTCATCTCCTGCCTTCATATCTTATCTGTAACAAAACCTCAATGTCTCTCCATTTATGTTTCATCACTCTTCTCCATCCACACACCCAACACTTTAGTACTAGGCTTTATATCCAAACAATAGGAACAAGTAACTGCTTTTCTGATGTTCCTCTCAGAGTACAATCTGCTGTTCTAATAAGCTTCTATTGTATTCTTTTTTTAAAATTCAGATATAGTTGAGGTACAATATTATATGTTATAATTATACAACACAGTGATTGACAATTTTAAAAGTTATACTCCATTTTTTAATTATTATCAAATATTGGCTCTATTTCTTGTGTGGTATAATATATCCTTGTAGCTTATTTTATACAAATAATATTATGAATAAAATATACACTCCATATTCAATCTGTCAGGAAATCCTGTTGACTCTGTCTTAAAAACATGTCCAAAGTCTGACCATTTATCATCATCTCCCCTACTGTTACCCTGGTCCAAGCCAGCAATAGCTTTTGAGCATCCAAAGTGATCTGTTCAAAACATTAACTCAGATAATGTCATTTCTTTGCTCAAAGTGAAATTCTTTACAATGATACAATGTTATCTCTCTAACTTCAATTCCCACTTCTCTCCTCCTGTGCTCCAGCTACATAGACCTTCTCACATTTCTTCAAATTGCCAGGAATATGGTGATGTGCAGGAACTTTGCACTTGCTGTTCATTTTGCCTGGAGTATTTTTCCTTCAGATAGCTGCACTGCCAATTTCTTTTGTCACTACAAAGTCTTCTCATGAGCTAGTCATTCTATCACACTAAGATCACAAACCCTTTTTTTTCTTATTTTCACCTCAGCATAAGCACCACATTTTATTTTTCTTCTTTATTGTCTCTCTTCCCCATGAGAGTAGGGATTCTTTGTGTATGTGTGTTAGTTGCTCAAGTTGCTCAGTTGTGTCCAGCGCTTTGTGACACCATCGACTGTAGCCTGACAGGCTCCTCTGTCCATGGAATTCCCCAGGCAAGAATACTGGAGTGGGTAGCCACTCCATTCTCCAGGTGATCTTTCAGACCCAGGGATTGAATCCAGGCATTGCAGGCAGATTCTTTACCATCTGAGCCACCAGGAAACCCCGTAACTATATCTTTGCCTGTAGCTATATCTCAAGCACCTAGAATAGTCTGGAGCATAGTGGATGCTCAATAAATTCTTTTTGGTTATTGAATAGATAGTGAGAGATATGTGTCATGGGATCATAAAGTATGCAAAGATGGAGACAGGCACTAGACAAAATGTCTTACCATCTTCCTAATCTTGTGTAGTTGGAGAAGGAAATGGCAGCTCACTCCAGTACTCTTGCCTGGAAAATTCCATGGATGGAGGAGCCTGATAGTCTACAGTCCATGGGATCGCTAGGAGTTGGACACGACTGAGCAACTTCATTTTCTTTCTATAGTTCCTTTTGGAGTAGGAAATGGCAATGCACTCCAGTGTTTTTGCCTGGAGAATCCCATGGACAGAGGGGCCTGGTGGGCTACAGTCTATGGGGCTGCAAAGAGTCAGATATGACTAAGCAACTAACACACACACACAATCTTGTGTAAGTAGAAAATTCCTTGCCTTTTGTTAGTTGTTTACATCTCTTGTAAGATGGCTCCTATCTTAGGGAAAGAAAGCACTTTCCACTGTCAAAGCCTCAATTTGGTCACTAGGGGTGGATACCATCTTATTTCTCAAATGTTATCCTGAACATTTCACACCTTTGCTAAGTTAAATAGAAGAAAGCAGTGTCTATTTAAATGAAAAAATCCCAGGTCTTGACCTTCAGTGCTCAAAATTCTCAAAAACAAAAAGAAAGAAATCTAAGATAGGAGTATTTAACTCTATGAAAGAAATTTTCACATACTGAGGTCTGAAGAAGTCACTCTGGATAGCACACAAGTTTTTACCTTGGCTAAAATGCCCTGTTTGTGGATTATCCAACACATATTGTACATCTGCTTTATTAACGGGCTCCTTAATTTAGAAGTAATCTGATGCCTGAGCAACTAACACTTAACAAGGCTGTCCATGATAAAGACAAAAATTCATTGTCTCCCTTCCTGGGAGGCCAATGCTGTTACTCCTTCAGTGATGACTCCCTTTCTACGTACCAAGGCAATAATAACTTCCTGTATTCCAAACTGATCTATTTTTTTGAAACCTTGAAGGAATAGATCCCTGACTTATTGAATGTTTTGTTCTGACATAACTATGCTGAAAACCATACTTCCCCTCAGGACTTCCTCAGAGTTACCTGAGAAGCTGTCTTCTGGACTTGTATTTCTGGCTCAAATAAAACTCTTCTGTATTCCCATGAGATTATTTTTTTCCATTGACAAGTCCATATTTCCAAGAGGAAATATACGGTAAATAATGATAGTGATAATTAAACAAATCACGCTAATATCAAACTTATCTTACATCACAGATAGTAGAAACACCACTTTGGCTTCTTCCTCCGATTTTTTCCTTTATCAGAAAGACGCACACTCCCTGCCACTAACGGAGTGTTTTCAACAAAAAGAGAGATCTAGATTTCTTTCCGTGCAGCATTAGCGTAAGGGTGGCGTTCCTTCGACTCTACAGGCGTTCTGTGCTATTACGGACTTGAATTGACCAAACCCCAAAACTCCAAGAGGGACGTCCTCTTTCGTGGCCGAGGACGCGAATGAACCTTGGGGGCGTTACCAGCTCCCTCAAGGTCCTGAGAGAAAAATCTGCCGGTTGAGGACGCTCCTCTGGAGGAGCGCGCCACGGCCTCCTGCGCTCAGTCTGGTACGTTTCGTCCAAAGTGCCCACCAGCCCTGCTCCTCGTTGAACTGGAGTGAAGGCTGCCGCTGATCCCCCCAAAGACGCCGGGGCGGCCCGTTAGCCGATAGGACGGCCTCGCGTCCTCTAGCCCGAGCCGCGCCCAGGAGCGGGTGGGGGAGGGGCGGCGGCGCTCGCGCTGCGTCGAGTTTCCCAGAATTCCCAGCGGCCGCAGGGAAAGTTTACGGGACGTAGGCGGCGACAGCGGCGGCCGCAGTAGCGGTTACTAGGTGGCCAGCAGCGGACCATGGCCCTGGCCGGGCGTTCCTGGCTCTTCTCTCGGAGTCCTCGGGTAGCGACGCGGAGCCGGCAGACTTCCGGGAAGGAACTGACAAGCGCTTGAGCGGTGACTGGCGCGCTTAGCGCCCCGAACATGCGGCAGTCCTTGTGGGCAACCCCGGGCTGCGGAGAGGCGGCGGCGGCGGCGGCGGCGCGGGAGGGAAGGAGGCGGCGGCGCCGGCGAAGGTGGCGGCGGGGACGCCCGGCGTCCGGCGCGGAGCCTTAGGGCGGCTGCTTGGCGTGGCCTGGGGCCTTGTGGTCAAGGATGCTGTCCCGAAAGAAAACCAAAAACGAAGTGTCCAAGCCGGCCGAGGTGCAGGGGAAGTACGTGAAGAAGGAGACGTCGCCTCTGCTGCGGAGTGAGTGTCGGGCGGGGTGCGCCCACACCTGGCCTGGGCGGCCGCGGGCTACGGGGGACCCGGGCTGCGTGTCCGACGCCGCTCCCCGCGGCTTCTCTTTCCTTTTGGCCTCTGTGAATTTTTTTTTTTTTTTAATGCCTGGAGTGATGTTCGTTGTTTGAAAGCTGATAAAGAGTAAAAAACTTTAGTCCATCTCCGTCTCCCCCCACCCCGCCCCTCAAAATCCACAGACTTCCCTTCTTGAAGCTATGTTGTTGGTTTTGATCACTGGAAGAAAGATGTTCTTTAGGAAACAAATTGCTCATCCCCTGGTTCTGTAGGAATTAAAGGGATTACAGTGGGGCACGTGTTTTCCTCTTGTTACGTCGAGATTTGCATTGTGTTTGCAAACATTGCGAGTGTCACTCGCCCAGCTCGAAGTTGTGCGAACGCTTGAGTAGAATTCTTAGTCCAGCTGTTGGATGATGACGTCCGGAGGTGAAAGCTGACCGTCGCTATTGTAGCTGCTGCCTAAAAAGCCTCGTCAATTGTAGATCTCAGGGTTGAAGAGCCAAAAATTATATGTGTTTGGCTGTGTTCATGAGAATTTCTACAAATAAAACCTAGAAATACGCCAAAGACTCAAAATAATTTCCATCATACTTTTGGGGAAATTACGAAAAAAGTTGTGTGTGTGTTTGTACTCCATTTTTTAATGGAGTGCATTTAGCTGGCACTTTACTTATTTTCAATTTAAGTATTTGACTCTAATTTTCCGACTGAATCTTTTGAATTTTTAATTCTTGCTTGTGTGTTTAGAACATTTGTGAGGTAAGGAGCAATTTTTTTGGTGTTCATACTGAATGCTGGGCCCTTTGTGTAAGTTTCCTTCTTGGAAGCTGGTGACTTTGTGACTTAAGCATTACCTCATATTGTAATTGGGAAAGCTTTTTATAGAGGTTACTAGTAATATTTGCCCAAGATCGCACAAAAAGGGGTGGAGAGCATGTTTTTCCATTATAACCACATCATCAACCTTCCAGATTTATCCTTGTATTTGCAGTGCTTTCTTACAGAACAGATCGGATGGGTACATCAGTAACCTGAAACTTGATTTTTAAAAACTTTTTTTAATAGTTTATTTTTCATTTATGTAGTCTCAGGATTTTGGCCAAGTTTAAGTTAACTTGCAGTTAGCTTCAGATAAACAGTGTTATTCAACATTCCTTAAAATCATGAAATGTGTTTGCCACACCTTTTAGCAAATAACTTTAGATATATAGTATTTTGTTTTAATTCATCAAATGTTGAACCTTGTTTATGTGGATACTAATTTTTGTCTGCTTGGCTTTTGTTGCATATTAATATGCGTGCCCTCTGATACTGTCTACTTAGTGAACTAATAAATGGTCTCCAGATCCAGCTTTCTTCTTGTTTTAAAGGTGTGTGCTTTCTAACTAGGAATGCTTAAGGTATTTATTTAAGTTTTATATTCAGAAGTACTGCATCCTTAAAGCCATTGCTGTTTTCTTCTGTTTTGAATTATAATTGTTAAAGGAGCCATGATTTTAGACTTGGCGTTTTGTTTTTGTTTTTGAACTGATTCAACATTTGTGTTTTTGAAATAAGATTAAAAAAATTTTTTTTTAATTTTCATAGCTTAATTTTTAGTTTTTCTGTCTTTTGAGTATTGTACTATTGCTACATAATTCCAAGAGTAGAGTGCCAGGTTAATAATTTTTAAATTTTTTTTAAAGGAATTCACCTTTACATGTTTCAGAACAGCATTATGTTCTGTTTCATTTTTTAAATTGTGTTTTACTTAAAGAAGAGTTTGGGGAATTTTGGAAATGAAGTAAAATTGGCAAAACAAACTAATATTAAATTATGCTGGTAACTATCCATTTGTTAGATTGTTTACTATTTTTATACATTTATTCATGAGTATTTCATTAATATGTATTTTGTAGTTAAACTTAGTGATGTTTCATCATATTATGTTTGGTAGTATGCAGAATATGTTTGATTCTGGTAGAGCATACTTATAACACATTCATACAAATTATAAATTCATTTGAGTAGGAATATGGCAATCAGCCTCAATTTAAAATACCCAGATACTTTGCTAAAGTTTTAAATTGTATTTTCTTAAGTCCATTGAAATTTTTCATTTTGGGGTAAGATATAAATAAACATTGGAAAAAATAAAAAAAATAAACATTGGAAAAAATAAAAATTGGAAAAGCATATTACTTACTAGTCATTTTATTCTTTTGTTTTATTATAGATCTTATGCCTTCTTTTATCCGGCACGGTCCAACAATTCCAAGACGAACTGATATCTGTCTTCCAGATTCAAGCGCTAATGCCTTTTCAGCTTCTGGAGATGGAGTAGTTTCAAGAAACCATAGTTTCCTTAGAACTCCAATTCAAAGAACACCTCATGAAATGATGAGAAGAGAAAGCAACAGATTATCTGCACCTTCTTACCTTGCCAGAAGTCTAGCAGATGTCCCTAGGGAATATGGCTCTTCTCAGTCATTTTTAACAGAAGTTAACTTTCCTCCCGAAAATGGAGACTCTGGTTCCCGATATTATTATTCAGATAATTATTTTGATGGTCAGAGGAGGCGCCCACTTGGAGATCGTGCACATGAAGACTATAGGTATTATGAATATAACCATGATCTCTTCCAAAGAATGCCACAGAATCAGGGGAGGCATGCTTCAGGTAACTTAAAATTATAAATATGACATTTGTTTGTATATTTATAGATTTATTGATGATGTTTTCTGGATTTTCTTGAAAAGCCAACAGATACTCCTAGAGAACTACTACTCTTGTTTTGCTAGTCTTTCTAAGCTAGCTTGCAAATAATTATTCACCTGCACTGAGGGAAAGAATTTTATGTCCATTAACTCATCTATTTAACTTATTTTATAAAAGCCTGGTACATATCTGAAGGCTATCTAGGCAATATGAACTTTGAAAACTTAGAGATTTTAATGTCTATAGTTGGATTGACTCTAGGTTTAGATTTGGTAGAACAGGATGGTTTCCCAGGACTTAAACCTGGGAAAGCAAAGGCAAATAGGAAGAATTGGGCATGGTAGGTGATACCATGGACAACTGCATCATAGCTTAGCTAGAACTTGCTCTGTTTTGTTTTTAACAGACCTGTTTCTGTAGTTAAATAATTATTTCCCTGGTTTAAAAAGGCTTATTGTCAAATGGTTGATTGTGTGTTGTGTCCTTTTGTTCTTTTTGCAATGGGGAAAAGTATTTTCCATATAATTTTTTAAATTCTGCTTTCTGTGTTTGCTGACTTTGGGACATAGTACAGGGAGCAGAAGAGAGGTAAAATGCACTGTTCTACTTTATTCCTAAAGTACTAGATTACACTAGGTAAACTGAAGCAAGCTGAAAAATCAAACTTTTTCATCTGGTTTTTTTTTCCTAGTAAGTTGTAGGCTTTACAGGTTGGCAGGATAAAAATAAAACATATCTGATACATTTAAACTTCATTCATTTAATATTAATATGTCTAGTATTTTCCCTTTTGGTATCTGTTCTGATACCTAAATTGGGAGAACAAAACCCATATATGCCAAATGATCACAGATGAGTTAGTTGTTGCACTTTGTGTAAGGGGAGTCAGAAGAGAGATCAGCATAGGCTAGAATGCATAGAGAATGGTTCGTGAAAGAGGTGGGATCTGAACTGTTTTCTTTGGGCTTGGACTTCAGATTGACAGGAGGCGAAGAAAGGACGTGGTAGGTGAAAAATCAGTGAAAACAGCAGATATGTAAATCCAGGGAACTGTGTCGTTCTGTCTAGTTTGAAGAAATAAATTGGAATAAGTTTGAATAAGGTGGAAAAGAGATTAGTGATGCAGCAGCAGGCTATACAATTTAAACTCAGGTCAAGCAGAAGCCGTTGCAGATTTCAAAAGGACGAGATTTTAATTTTATGAAAGCAGTGTTGAAATATTAGTTTATTAGTTGTATTTGGAATAGATTGCTAGAGGAAAGAGGACCTCAGGTACCAGTGGTGTTAGAGACGAAGTGCAAACTTATGATGCATTTGAAGGAAAAATGAGATTTAATTACAAGTTTAGGAGAAAATAAATCATTTAAGTTTTGAAAATTGAAGAATAGTGTGGAATAGGTGGCAAGAGCACCTTATTTAGTGAAAGCTGACATTCAGGTTCATTGGGATACTGAAGAGGAGAGGTTTTCTAGACATAGAAATACTGCAGTGAAAATAGGTGAGTACCTGTTTTGTTAAAAGTGCTTCTAGGTTAAAGGATTGACAGTTGCATACTTTAGTGCTTATTTTGGCTATTTGTAATATCCACATTCAGAAAACTTAAGTCATGGCATCCAGTCCCATCACTTCATGGCAGATAGATGGGGAAACAATGGAAACAGTGAGTGACTTTATTTTGGGGGGCTCCAAAATCACTGCAGATGGTGACTGTAGCCATGAAATTAAAAGACGCTTGCTCCTTGAAAGGAAAGCTATGACCAACCTAGACAGCATATTAAAAAGGAGAGACATTACTTTGCCGACAAAGGTCTGTCTAGTTAAAGCTATGGTTTTTCCAGTAGTATGTTTGGATATGAGAGTTGGACTGTAAAGAAAGCTGAGTGCCGAAGAATTGGTGCTTTTGAACTGTGGTGTTGGAGAAGACACTTGAGAGTGCCTTGGACTCCAAGGAGATCCAACCAGTCCATCCTAAAGGAAATCAGTTCTGAATATTAATTGGAAGGACTGATGTTGAAGCTGAAACTCCAATACTTTGGCCACCTGATGCAAAGAACTGACTCATTTGAAAAGACCCTGATGTTGGGAAAGATTGAAGGTGGGAGGAGAAGGGGACAACATAAGATGAGATGGTTGGCATCACTGACTCGATGGACATAAGTTTGAGTAAGCTCCGGGAATTGTTGATGGACAGGGAGGCCTGGCATGCTGTAGTCCATGGGGTTGCAAAGAGTCAGACATGACTGAGCGGCTGAACTGAACTGAATGTTGTGTAGTTTTTAACCTTAGAAATAGTTTGTTATCCAGTAGTGAGTTTTAAAAATAAAGTTCATTTTTATAAATTTTTTAGAGTAATACCTGCTTGTTATAGGAAATTTGCAAAATGCAGAAAAGTAAAGGTAAAGCACTCATTATACCAGAGGTTCTTTGTATTTAGTTATTTGGTTCATCTTTTTGCATGACACTATTTTTGTTTTTTAAACAATGTTGTGATTATACCCTATACCTGCTTTTTTACTTGAATGAGTTTCTTAATGTTAAGCACTATTTTTGTGGTGTTTTGATGCCCTGTAATTTTCCATTTGGTACATGTCTTATGGTTAATATTTTAATTATTTGCACTGGATGTCAGTTGCACCATGAGAACTCTTAAGTTGTGGCATGTGAGATCTAGGTCCCTGATCAAGGATTGGTCCTCTGCCTTGGGAGTCTTAGCCACTAGACCATCAGGGAAGTCCCAGTATTTTCAATGTTAGTGAGGATCTGACCTAGTCTGGGATCATTTGGAAAGGGGAGAAGTGGGACACATCTGCATTGGATGGCCTTGGCCACTGATGGTTATTGAGGGATGAGGGGAAAAAAAAGTCAGATAGGATTAGCAAAGCACCTGGCTGTATAAGAGGTGCTGTAAAAATAAATGGTTGAATAAGTGAATGGATCCACAGATTTCAAGTCTGTACTGGAAATAATAGCTTATAGCAATCCGTTTGTCATTAATAAAGATTATTGTTCTTCACATTTACCTTTCCCATATATATTTATGTTGCAGACATCACTGATGCTCATGACACTTTTATGCCTAAAGTATGAAGAAATTAATGATACCAAGTTAAAATCTGATACCAGTGTAGAATATTTTAAAATTCTGATTTGAAAAGTATTGAGTAAATACTGTAAAAACTAAATTTCTACTGATCCTGTCTTAGGATCCTATTACACAATCTGATACATTTCTTGTAATTTTAATGACAGAGTTTAAAACAACTTTTTCCAGTCATATTTTAGAAATAAATAAAAGTTAATTGGATATTTTTTCAAATTAAAGAATGTTATTTAGAAAAAGATTTGTATTAGTTGCAGCAGTGGTACATGCTTAAGAAATTTCACTTAACATTAATTTATACCAGGGCAATAAGATTAATATTATACCTTTTAGAGATAAAAATGATACTACTTTACAGGAGTCTCTTAAGTGGCAGGGGAGGATTAATAACCAATTATTAACCCAATAGAAAAGCCTAATAGCTGTCTTTTCCAGAGGGAAAAAGTCTCAATATGAGACAGCAGCTGGAAATTTCTTGAATTCATCTTGAAAAGACTTGAAACTTACTGTATTTTCATATGCTGGAGAGAGTGCAAGAAATTTGAATGAATGGAAAGGAGAAAGTAAGTTTGTGGGAGAGTAAGTTTGTGTTCTAGACAGATTTATTTTCACAGGTTTTAAATTTTGGTTGCTGTTACTAATGCAATAAGCATAAAAAAGGTATGGAAGAAAACAGTTTTGTGCCTTGACCGTCTGAGCCAGCATGGAAGCTCTGAGAGTAGTAATTCCTGCCAGTTAGTTGTTAAACTCTGAGGAGATGCCTTGTCTCAAGGGTTAATTTCATCTCACTGTAGTTAGCAGGAGTACAAAAAACAAGTTGTAGAATATCTTACAGGGTGTTAGGGCCTAGGATGTTCTACATTTAGCTGTGAAATTTGACCTTTAACATTTTGGCCTACATACCAGTCAGGCAGTTACTGTATGTGCCAAAGAAAGAAATTCTGCTGTTAATAGGAAGTCTTTAGTTGGAATACTAAAGGCAAATTGAATTCCTTTGTTTTGTGCCTAAATAATTTAGTTCTATGCAATTTTAAGTATCAAACTTTTAAATATTATTTTTAAAGACAGCTAAAGAAATCAAGTTATAAACATCCAATTAAAAAGGGCCAGGCTTTACCAAACAAAATACTGGAGTTGTGTTTACTCCAGGAAATGCATAATTATTAGTTAACCCTAATCTTCTTTTGAGGATGTGGTAATAATCCTTAGGGGCACAGTTTTACTTGTAGTTATTTGGAGAGGAGGAAAAAGGCACTTGGCTTTGTTTAATCTGTATAATTTTTTATCAACATCTTAGTTATAACATGGGCTGTAATGTTTAGTATTATCTTGGAGCTCGTATCTTTCATTAGGATTCCAGATGCCGTTTTATTTTTTGTAATTACTTTAGCATTAGGAAGCTAGAGTTTTTGAGCTTGTCTGTAAGGGCAGATCTTGTAGATATCTGCCCAGTTGTGTGACATTAAGTTCTTTGGAGGGATATCTAGTGAAAGCTTTGTGGAGAGACAAAGTAATATTTTATTGGTGTCTTTGGGAAATTATGTATTTAGCTTATTAATGTTTTAGTTTATTTTATATAAGTGGAAGGTGCTTGTGCAATTAATTCCTGCAAATGAAAGTTATTTTAAAGATTATGAATTCACTTTTTTCTCAGACTAATTAAAATTATGGAGAACTATTTTTTTTTTCTTATAGCTCAGAAACAAGTTCAGAATTACAGATTGCATTTTCTTTTACTAGCGACCGTCGTATTTTTCTTTGAAGAATTACGGTTGACATTTTGTGGTATGGTTATGTTGTAGGTAATAGATTTGTCATTTGACCTTACACCATCTGTATGGCCTTTGGTAATGTAACTTAC